GGTCACGCCATGAAATAGAGAGTTTTCTGAAATTTTGCCTCGTGAAAGCATTTTTTACACCAACCACCTATAATTCATACAAATATGAAATATGAACTAAACCTCAATACTTAGCACAGTAAGTAGCCAAAATTAGGACAAAATAACAGTGTAAAATGTGCCAAATAATTGCTTTATCAATATCAAAAATAAAATGAACACAAAAAGAAACAAATAATTTAGGCATCAATCCCCGCAATAGGGCCAAAAATTCACAAGTTGTCGAGCCTTTGCAATAATAATAATGATAATCCTAGTTGCCAACAAAAGCAGTTTTGCGTCAATTCTAATACTAGAGTAGGGATTTTGGATGTGCAATTGGTTACTAAATTCACCCTAATTCCGAAGAGTTTGCTAAATCCGATATATCAAAATTTATTCATGAGAATTTGTTAATTTGTATATAGGGCAAGTAGGGTCGTATTCTCAGGAACTGGAAAAAATTTACTCCTTTTCAAGTAGAAGGGAAACGGGGTTTCGAGAATTAAACGCTAACGAATTATTAACCAAATGAATCAACTGTGAAAAATTATTAAGAGAGAGAGAAATAATGAAAAAAACTCTAGCCAAGGATACACTTCAGAGATGGTTCATGCAACTGATCATTGATTCAAATATAATTTCAACATTCATTCATAAACATGTTTTTAACTGCCGATACGATCTAACAATTAGTTCCTCCATACTGTTTCGATAGTCAAGATACGACTATTGACTATTTTTCTAATTTAGAAATAATCATAGGTACGATCATAGGATTTAATTTTCTAATTGTATTAAAAATTAGAGAAACCCTGTTCTAATTAATAAATATGTTACGAGAGTTTATATAAATTAGATTGTATGTTTCTCTGATACAAACCCAATTATATCAGTTGCTATTGGGATTAGAGTGGTCAAACAATTACGGATTCAAGTACTCTAATTAACAAATAGATTACGTGAATAATTAAATATTGCGCACCTATTCAATCACACAAAATAATCATAGCCACGAAAAGTAGAAAACATACAAATACCAATGGATGAAGGAAGCAATTAAAATAATTAAATCTCACAGTTATCGTTGAGTCAATTCTTCAGTTGTCCCCTAGACTAGAAATGGGTGATTAGTTCATCCTCGTTGAAGTAATTTCGCGCGAATTAATTGTTTCCGTTATCATCAAAAGATTCCCCAAAGAAAGTAATGAACAAAACTTTTTATTGGTTAAAATGAAGGAAAAATAATATGAAGATAATCAAAGCCGAAGCCGTTTGCTTCTTCTTACTCTCGGTCATTCGGTCTGCTCCCCTTAAAAATTCAAGCTAAAAACTTACAAATAGTCTAGAATCCTAATCTATATGAACTTTCCTAATCTAACATAATTCCTAAAAGGAAAAATCGTCCAAAACGTCCCTCATATTTTGTAAAATAACTTTTTTCGTCCCTCATTTTTAAAAGTATAATTTTATGTCCTTACATATTCAAATCGGTCAAATTTAGTCCCTAACTAGGTTTCTGATCATTTTTTGGCCGGAATCCATCATGTGTAAGGCACGTGATCATTTTTGAAGGGTGAATTTGTCAAATTATATTTTACATAATCTAATATATAGTCCTCCACATTTTATAAAATAAATTTTTTCGTCCCTCACATTTTATGAAATAATTTTTTCATCCCTCATATTTCACAAATGAATTTCTCCATTCCTCACATTTCAAAAAATAAATTTTTTATTTCTCACTAATTATGTGTGCGAATACATTTTTTTTAAACACATGTATATGTCTATATGATTCTGTTTAATAATAATAGCATAAACACATGTATGTAATTGGGCTCAACTTGTGGGCTATCTTCTCTTTTTGTATGATTATGACTAAAATTTTCCAATAGAATCTTAATTTACATATTCTGATTATATTTTGATCGAAAATAGCTTTATTGGCTAACTTGACAATGAATGTAAGATTTTTTACTAGCTAATACCAGATGAAATCAAATGATCACATATAATATATGGTATTCATATTGTTAAGTGAAATCAAATAGACATATACATATATTTATGCTATTCGTATTATTAAGTAAAATTAAATAGACATACATTTTTTAGGGTTTCCCTTACACACATAATTAGTGGGGGATGGAAATATTCATTTTTTGAAATGTGAGAGATGGAGAAATTCATTTTGTGAAATGTGGGGGATGAAAAAATCATTTTATAAAATGTGAAAGACTATAAATTAGATTATGTAAAATATAATTTGACAAATTTATCCTTAAAAAATGATCACGTGCAAGCACGTGATGGATTCCGGCTAAAAAATGATCGGAAACCTAGTTATGGACTAAATTTGGCCGATATGAATATGTAAGGGACATAAAATTACACTTTTAAAAGTGAGGAACGAAAAAAGTTATTTTACAAAATGTGATGGACATTTTGGACGATTTTCCCTTCCTAAAAATATGATTTCCTAATAGTACTCAACTATTAAATAGAAAAAGGCGATAATTATTCCAATATAGTCTCGGACTTGGAATCCACAATTCTTTGGAAGTTGCCCTGTACGCGTGAGATCCGACAATCCCGTCCTGGAATCGTGATTTATGCACGCTCACGCCTAATTGTTAGAAAGTCTTCTGGAAGGTTGATTTTCAGCACCTTTTTTCACCAATTTCTGTAATTAACACCAAACACAAAACCTGAGTAGAATCCACCAAATAATGCAATATTTATCCCAAATGATTATGAAATATTAATGAAATAACCCACTAAAATGTACCCTATCAAGTGAGTTGTGTCATTTAAGTCAATGGAGCAATACAAAACGAATCCAAGTCCCAAAACATTTTTGTGCTATCCAAAACATTTCCTAAGCATAAGATAGCACTATAACTAGTTTTTGAGTCATTAAGTAGCCCCAACTACTCATCTTCCGAAACTCTAAAATGTGCAATATATCTACAGTAGAGAAATACAATTATTAGTAGATGACAAAACAAACTTGAGACAAGGAAAATCAGTTAAGGATTCATAAAAAAATAAAGTCTCATTTGTTTAAAGTCTCATCCAAATAGTAACTGCATAAAGAGCAGAATAAGAGACAAAATAAGAGCATAAGATAGCTCTTAATATGCACATAGAAACTAATTGTAGAGAGTAAAAGGCAGGTATTGTCACAGGTAAAGGAAACTCTTTATATCAAAGACGTTAAACAGCCTCCAAATTTCCTAAATAAACAATAAAAGTAACAAGCATTTACTAAATTCTTTGGCAAATTACATGTTAATATTGTCACAGACCAAGGATTAATGTTCAATAACTTATACTATTTTTGAATCGCAACAGCCACTATTTCTATAATAAATGTATGTCTTAGTCACAATTCAAAGTCTCATATAAACTAAAAAATTACAAGAGCATCTCATTTACAAATATAATACAATTTAGACAAGTATATATAGTTGAAAATTGCTTACAATTTAATATGTGTAGGTGTGCCTTGGTTTTGCATCTCACTTTGTTGGTTTACAAGCCTGTCCATAAGTTGCTATTGGGATTGGATTGTTATTTCCAATTCAACTGAGTGTTCTTTTGCTTGTTGTACTCTTTTCTTGAATTCTCCTATCTCTGCAAGTTATTGTGCAATTACAATAGTTACTCCTATTATGTTCCTCCGAATTCTCCAATTCTCACCAAAGTTAGCTACTCCTACGTCATTTAACATTTCCTAAATATCATCAGACTCACTATTTTCTTCATCTATATTTATGTTGTCATTTTCATCATCATCAGAATCTTCAAAACTTTCACCATGATATACTCATCTAGTATAGCTCTAAACAATTCCACCACAAATGACTTTTCATGACCTCCATAGTTTGATCTTCAAAGTTGTTGCACACTTTACTTGGACAAGGGAGCTTATATGTGGGATCCTTACCAAAATAAGCAAACTCAACAAATTCTTTCACTCTTGCCAAATATTTAGGATCTAGGTAATCTTTAATTGACATCCAACTCCTATCCATGTTTTTTTTGACCCTTTATGCTAACCAAAAAAATGCAACCATGATATTATAATGAAAGCATAGCAGTTAATTTAATCTTCCAAACAACAACAATGAAAAGTAAACAAAATGGAACACAACTATGTTTGAGATTGTCACGAGCAGGAGCAAGCATATAAAAAAGTTCAAAAAATGATAGTAATTAGTCTTAGCTATTAAATTACATTAACCACTGTGCACCTACATATGCATTATATACATAGTGCATTTAGTAGTTGTATAGTAACATTACAATTTTTGGGATGATTTAGAAAGTATAAATTTCTAAAAAATTGGGCTGCCTATAAATAATAGAAAAAAAAGAAGCAAAGTGGAGATAGAGAGTATAAAGGTACCACAAGCGAAAGACTACAGATGTGTGAAGTCGAGAGAGGTAAGGATACTCTCTCGGCAACCTTTACAAGCTTTCCTTTGGTCATGGAAGAAGCAGAAAGGAAAAAAGACACAACCGCAACTAACAAGTCAGAGCTGTGAGGAAATCTTTGACATCAGTAGTCTCCCACAGCTTTGTCAGAACTCGATACATGCGACAGGTATCCTGCTAAAAAGTACTGAAGAAAAAGAAATCTGAGCCAGTACTACCAAGTCTTTCAAGGACTGGAGCTTTGTTTGGATTGAGCATTATTTACCCAGTTTTATTTGCTTACATCATCATTACAATTTCCAATACACCTTTTTACCTTCCCAATTACCTTTTTATCTCACATACATCACATCACAAAAAGTGCTACAGTAAAAATATTCCAAATAATCCCAAATAACTTACAATCCAAACAAACCCGAAGGTCAACTTTTGTATGTTACTTGTAAATGGCATGAACGAAATTGACTAACAATAAGAGACTATAAGTACAGCAGTAGCAGAGAACTGAATAAAAAGCTCAATTACATGTGCAGATGAAATTAGCCAACAAATATTGACGTTAAGATGCTTCATAGATTCCAGGAAGACAGGATAATACAACAGAAAATGGAAATCATTCTGAATGTGTTATTTCCCTCCCTGCCCCTTCTATGCTGACACATAAATATGGATTTGAAGTTCCAACACTGAGAAAAAGGGTCCCAATATAGAGAATAGAATAAACAATATGTGTTTAATATACTCATATAGAAGGGTGAACGAGTGACCATTTTTTGTTGCCCTCCTACCACTTCAGCAAGCCAATAGAGTCCACGTCTATTATAAGTATAGAAACTGAGCTTAGAAGCTCAATTTTTGTTCTGGTTTCTTCACTTCATCTTGCTGAATCGCAATTACAGATTTGGGTCGTGAAAAACTGTGCATTTTCCTTTCTGATTATACACCGACTGGAGCATGTGATTTAGGCTACTTGAACATGATTTTACTATCTTCATATTTTCAGCCAGAGATAAAATTGTACCTGCATTTTGTCCTATCAAGCTAATGGCTGTACCATGAAAGCAACAGATAAATACAATAATATCATGTCATGCTCGAAGTATTGGCAGAATAGAACAAAAGTCAAACTATTCTTTTCCTTTGCACAAACAAAGTACATCTAAATATCTGTCCTATTCTAATGGAACCAGAGATTGGCATAGGACTCTTGACAGCAGCATATACGTGCATTTTATTTTCTTTTTCTTTCAAGAACCGCTGGATTTAGGTTATTGGTCTGCAAGTCTTGTTCAGATCCACATGGGTTCTTGTTTTGATGAATTGCTTAATTATTTCAGGCAACAAAAGTTTAGGAAAAATTTTTTAATTATTTTGACAAAAAATTTTCGGCAACAAAAGAAATTTAAAGCAGAGAAAACCTTCTTAAGCGATTGTAAGTCCGAGCAACAAAACTATAATTTTTAAAATCATAACTATCATTTTCCAGTGACTAATATGAGTGTAGATCTATATCACTATTCAACCAAAGCCCAAGGACACACTTCACTGGGACAAATATCTTCAGGCTATGAAGATTATGACACAGAGAACCAGAGCCCAGTACTTCTACTAGAAATAAGACTGAAAATGCAGACTGACAGTACCTGAGCCATGAATTGTAGTATAGACAAGAAAACAGATTTTGCATATTACATCAGAGAATTAAGGTGTATATTTTACAGGATCAGATATTCATAATGGACAGAAACCATCAAAATGTACATCAACTTTATAGTTATGACTGTGCAGTAGAACCTTTCAAGGCATTGTAGCTGAATCAACAAATAGAGTCAGAATGAAGCTGTATGATTTGACTGCAACAGCATGAAATCATAACACCCTTGCAACCAGTAATTACTCTTCAAATCCTGTACAAGTATACTCTTCAAATCCTGTATCAGGATGAAGCTGTACAAGTATACTCTTCAAATCCTGCATCGATAACACAAGTATACAGATAAAACAAACTTTAAATGAGATGAAGTCAAACTAGCTGACTACATCGCATAAGTAGAATACACATATCTATACATTCAATCAGAACTCAAGAAGTAATGTCCTTTTAATTGTTTCCTTGTTGGTGTACTGATCAAAGGTTGCCACGATGTAAAAAGACTCAGAGGAGCTGCAATACCTTGCAGCTGTGTCCCCAGGGATGGAGATGAAAAGTAAGCTACATTAGCATCGCCTATAAGCATGTAATCTGGACTTAGTTAGGCAGCTGAGCAAATGTCCCACTGTTAGGGCTACATCCCCCAACCATCATCTTCTCAAAGACTTCATATGCTCCATCAGGGTTCCCAGAGATGCTATACCCTCTAATGAGAGCATTATAAGTGAAAACATTCGGTTCAAGACCTGCTACCTTTAGTTCTTCAAACATCTTTCCTGCTTCCTCCAACATCCCCAGAACTCCAAGATTGAGAATTAGAGAATTGTAGGTATATAGGTTAGGAGAAATTCCTCTGCTGCGCATCTCACTAAAAAGAGCCAAAGCTTCATGAATTTTTCCCCATCTTCCAAGTCCGTTAATCATAAGGTTATAAGAAACCAAATCGGGATCAAGGCCAGATGACTTTAACTCCTCAAAATAGTAAGTTGCATCTTCCACCTTTCCAGCTATGCAAAGACAATCAACTAGAATGGTGTAAGATTTCAAGTCAGGTCTTATTCCCTCCCTAAGCATTCTATTGAAATATGAAATTGCATTTTCCACATCCCCTGCCTTACCAAATCCATTGATAAGGATGTTGTATATAGCAGAGTTAGGTAGGCATCCATAATCAATCATTTCCTCAAGCAATTTCTTTGCTCCATCCAAATCTTCAAGTTTGAGAAGACCATCTAGAAGAGGACCATAGGTGCAGGGAGTGGGAGAAAAGCCTCCACTTACCATATCATAGTATAAATCTATGGCCTTGTACACATCACCAGCCTTAACAAGACCAGAGATGAGTATGTTGTGCGTTACAGTATCAGGCGTACATCCTCTATGACGCATCTCTTCATACAATTCAAAAAGTTCATCAATCATTCCTGACTTCGCAAGATAATCAAGCAACAAATTGTATATGGAAACATCAGGAGCACAACCAGCCTTTTTCATGTCCAAGAAAAGTTCCCAAGCCAATTCTTTATGATGAAATTCAAGAAGGCCATCAATTAGGACACAATGTATTTCTAGTGTCGGTAATATCCCAAATGACCTTCTGACTTTCAAAAACAATTTATGAGCATCAAGGACTTTCTTTTGCTTGCACTGAAATTTAATAATAGGTACCATGATCGATTCATTTTTGCACAGACAATCAGAAAGTAACTTTTCCATAAATGAAATGCAGTAATGCAATTCAGCTTCACAAATAGTTCCTTCCATTAGATTTTCCCAGAAAGATCTGTCTAATGTACTTTCAACTTGGTGAGCAAAATCCTTGACAATGTGAAAAGCATCATCAATCAAACCCTCTTTCATGATACCAGGGAGGAGAGTGCACAAAGTTACACAGTCAGGGTACAACACTTTTCTCATTTGATGGTAGAACCAGAAAGCTTCCCTCAACCTGTTTTCTTTAATTAACCCAGAAATGATTGTGTTGTACGTAAAAACATCAGGATAGCATTTAACTTCTGTCATTTGATAAACTATCTTCACAGCTGAGTCAACCTCATTATTCTTGCAATGACAATCCAAAACAGTATTGAATGTTATTGTATTGGGAGGACAGCCACGTGCACTCATGCTGTCGAATAACTGAAAAGCTGCTATATACTTGCCCTCCTTTCTCAGTCCAGCCAACAAAGTGTTGTACGTAACAACTGAAGGAACAAGCCGCATATCCTTCATTCTGCGGAACATTGCCCACGCCTCATCTGGACGATCAGCCTTGTAAAGCATGTCAATTAAAGAATTGACAATGATAACATCTGGATCACAGCCAGTCTCAATCATCTCATTCAGAAACTGAACAGCCTCATCAACTTTTCCTGCATTGGCAAAACACTTTATCATCATGTTATATGTGATGGAATCAGGTACAAGTCCACTCCTTTTCATTCCATTAAAAGTATCTTTTGCCTCCTTAAGCCGACCCAATTCTGCTAGGCCATACAGAGATGCATTGAAAGCGACAACATTTGGAGCAATTCCATGAGCTTTCATCTTCTCAAAAGTTTCAAGAGCCTTGTCAGTTTGACCTAATTTTGCATAGTAGTCAATGAACAGGATATATGTGAATGCAGTATGTTGCACGCCTAATGATTCCAAGCTACCAAATAGCTCAAATGCCTGATCAGACCTATTTTCTTTCAGAAGGCCACCAATCAAGGTATTGTAAGTGTGTAGATTAGGGGCTAGTCCTTTCTCCTTCATGGTTTCCAAAGTGGCAAATGCTTCATCAACATTTCCCACTTTGCACAAGGCATCAATAAGTATCGTGAAAGTAACAACATCCCCTTTATAACCATCAGCTTCCATTTTGCACAGATATTCCCTAACAGATTCCAGGTCTGCATGATCAGCAAATTTTTCCAGCAATGTGATGTAAGTTACACGATCAGGTTTTTGCCTTCCACATTTCATCTTTGCAAAAACTTCTTTTGCAATGTCAAGCTTTCCAGCATCACAAAGAGCATCAATAAGAACCGTGTAAGTGACTACATCAGGCATACAACCCTCCTTATCCATTTTTGTAAGAATACCATATGCCTCATTGATCTTACCCGCCCTTCCCAGTGCCCTAATACAAATGGTGAAAGTATAAACATTGGGTCTCAATTTTAAGCTCTCCATCTCCTCCAACAACCTCATGACTGTTTGTGTATCCCTTCGCTTCCCACATGCCACCATCAGTGCAGAGTAGGTTTTAAGACTAGGCTTGAGCCCTTCTGAGACCATCCTTCTATATACCCATAAAGCTTCCCTCCAAAACCCTTCTTTAAGAACCAAATGTATCAATCCATTATACGAGTAGGCATTCAACACAAACCCTGCTTTTCGCATCCTCTCAATAGCTACCACCACTTCCCGAATCCCTCCAATTATGTTAAGACTTCTAAATATAGTCAAGTAGGTATTCAAACTCCTATATATTATCCGCTTTTGCATCAAATCAAACACCACAGCCATGTCATTTATCCTTTTATGAACCCTCAAAAGCTCAAGCATGTAATTACATGTCTCTGTATTGTGAACTACAGTAGGCAATTCAGCAACGGATTTGAAGAAAGAAAAGGCTTGATTTGGGTCAGATTTTGACTTCAAAACCCCCAAAAGTTCCTCAGGAGACATACTCTTTTTGAGTTTTCCATTGACAACCACAACATCATATGAACTTTTTATTCCAAACCCAGAAAAACCCACTTGCTTTTTCATGATTTTCTTCCACCTCAACATAGACCCACATGGGAAAAGCCTCATAGACCCACATGGGAAAAGCCTCGAAGTTCCAATCTTTGTCCCTCCTAAAGGCACATTGTAACTTAAACCGTATGGTTTGCTGACAGTTGGTATAGCCTCAGCTGCACCTCTGCAACTGAAATTACTACAACAAATTGTTGAGGAGCAGACTATAATCACAGCCATACAGGAATTATGAGACGAAATTCAAGAAACATAAGAGTGGTGAAATGCAGGGGAAATCATAGCAAAAATTTATTAACTTGCATGACTACTATATGTTTGTTGAATTGCCTAAGAGAGAGCTGATAAGTAGTAGAAATTTTAAAGATGGGAAACAGGGAATTATCTGCTTACCGATGTCCTTGAATGTGTGTCTGGAAACTATGAAGGACTCCGAAGAGGAAATATCTTTGAAGAATGGAAGTTTTCTAGCTGTAAAATTTAATAAGTGGACGTTAATTGTCATTGTCAAGTATAATATCCTCTAAAATAGTACATAAATTGTAAAAAATAAAATAAAATGTTGCCATCCCCCTTTTTTTTTTGTTATTTGCACTCTCACTATTTATTTTATCATATAATCTAATAAATGAAAACTATACGATTAAAATAATAATGAAAGTATAATTAACAAAAATAGGTGTGCAAATAATATTTTTCAAAATGAAAATGCAACAATTCTAAAAATATTCATATCGTTAAAAGTTAGAAATAATCAAAATGATAGGGCGAGTGACTAGAAATAAAATAAGATAAGATATCAAATGCGAAATTCTATAAAGGCCATTTGTGTCCAAAACAAATGCATGTCATCTTTTTTATTTGTAAATGTTGATGTGATCTTTAAAGGAGATTAAAAGTTTCTATTAATATGGTTGAGTGAGTAAAGTGAAACTAAGAAGGTTCTATTTATTTATTTATTTATTTTAGTATAAGTGAAAATGTTCGAACCTAGCCTCTCACTTACATTTCTTTCATTCGAAACACTTAACTCATTTCTACCCCAACTAAGAAGGCTGGTTCAAGGGAGTAAAACACAATCAAACCTATTTTCAATTTAATGTTTTTGGTTATTCAATACAAAACAAAATATGAAGTAGCTTTAAAATCTTTGTTTTTTCCTTTATTGGATTAACTCTAGTTTGCACTCTTGAATTTGTATCACTTTCTCACTTTGCATCATAAACTTTAATTTTAGATATTTTACACCCTAAATTCTTAAATTTATCCCATTTAAATTCAATCAATGATAATATTCGCAAAATTAACGTGATAAAGGGCAATGAAATTTAATAATAATCTATCATTTTGTTCCAACTACGATCTTTTAACTCTTTTGAACTGTTTTTAGCATATTATCATTTATTCATATGGTCTCAATTACTAATATTATTAGCAAAATTAACGAGATGAAGGGTGGTGCAAATTAATGATAATATATTATTTTATTTGGGCTATCATATCTTAGCACCTTTTGATTACTTTCAGGACATTATTATTGACTTATTGGATCCTCTATGTGATTAATTTTGCAAAAATTGCTATTGACTGGTTTTAAATAGGACAAACTTGAGAGTTCAAGATGTAAGATGTCCAAAATTGAGAATTTAGAGCGCAAAGGTTTTTAAAATTGAAGTTTAGGGTGTAAGGTGAGAAAGTGATACAAGTTCAAGGATGCAAAGTAAAGTTTGTCCTTTTTTTTTCTCGATTAGTATAAAAGTGAAGACAAATACTTGGTTTGTTTGGATGTCATCTTATTTGCAAAAAAAATTTCACTTACATGATAAACATATTTTTTAAACACCTTTTTATATCCCTAACCGGTCTTTTTATCTCATGTATATCATATCACAAAAAGTACTACAATGTTAGTCATAGATATCTTCTATGGAGGATTGGCTTTTGTGGTTATATCTTCTATGGAGAATTATCTACATATAAGGTTATATATTCTACAGTGATAGCCATTATATGATTATATCTTCTATGGAGAATTAGCTTTTCTCCCCATATAGGTCGAATGGATGTAGGAATGACATCTACTGACCTTGACATTTGGGTCTATTCCAAAAGCAAGAGAAAGGGATAAATGTGGAAAACCCCTATGAACTTTTATAGCTGTTGCACAATACACTTCAAAATATGTTTATAGGCACTTTGCACTCTAACTCCATTGATACATTACCACTGAAATGACAACTGCATCCTCAAGTAATAATTGAATGAACAAAAACACCCTTTTGGTGGGGACCCATTGTGACATGTGGAGTAGGAAGATGAAAAAGGATATTTGTTTAGAATTAGGGCAAAAGAAAAGAGGGGACTAGTTCTTCATAACCTCCATTCTTGAGTATGCAAAAAAATTTTCTTTTTTCTTGCAATTGACGAAGAAAGCAAAGAGGAATCACTATAAAGGCACACCAAAAGTGAGAAAATGACGCTTTGAAGAATCTAAATCAAGGTGGAATCTTTATAGAAATTCAGCAAATTAGGTATTATGCAAAGCCTTACTTTTTTCTTTCTTTAATCAACTTTTTACCATTTTATGTGGATCTGCTTGTTCGTACTTGTAGTTTGGGTTTTAGAATACGTATTTCTATGGTTGTTGTAGAATATAATTGCATGTGGTCCTTATGTTGGTATGTCGTGCTGATTGTGACCATTTTTTGTTTTTTATTGTTTTCATGCAATAATTGGGTTGTTTATAAGATTCTTTACAAGATTATATTGTGTTGAACATGGGTCATTGTTTGTTAGTGTGCTTTAAGCTTATTTTTACTGAGTACTATATGTTAACTAAGTAGTAACGGTGTTTTTGTGGTCCCTCACATGTATTACTATAATTTTGTCTCATACTAGTGTGGTCATTGCAATTGAAAGATATGTTCTCATTAGAGTAGTTAAACGAATCGAGCTATTCGTTAGCTCAGCTCGCTTAGGCTCGTTCGTGTTCAATAAGGGTTCGCTCAAAATTATATATGAACCGAGTTTGAACAAATATTTTGACTCGATAAGTAATCAAATAAACACGAGCGTGGTCGCGAGTTTAAACAATCGTTCGTCAACATGGGCTTAATGGTCATTTCACAAAATTTAGGGTTAGTATTGTTACAATTTTTATTCTAATTCCTATCCTATTCCAGTTGTTCCACTTTCCTTTAGCCTTTGTTAGCTCGAATAGTCCAACGTCATAAAGTTGAAAGTTTTTGATCTTCACTTCTTCCTAATTGCCGGCGTCGCTTGCCACCACTACCACTCGTCCGTTAGCCATCATCAAGTTCATCACCACCAAACCTTCCCAAATTTCTCTTTCAATTTCACACCACCAAACCTTCTCCTTTTAGGCTTCTACAAATGGCCACGATCCTTACTACTACAGGTGTCATCACCGAGGGTCCGAGGTGCCTAGCATTATCTCTCTAAGGTATGCTAATTTTATTTGCTTAAAACTTTGATGTTGTTTAACTCTAATTTATTGAATTTTAGATTTTTCAATTTTAACAATTTTAGGGTTACTTTCTAAACTAGTTACTGACTATTTATCTTATTTTCTTCCCAAATGTCTTTTGACTTCGAGAATTGAATTTTGGATCCTCTACAATGCTAGTAACAACTAAATTATTCTCTTTGTTGAGCTTAAGAACCATAGAAAAATCTTGTAAATTCTTTTGCCCATTATGATTTTCTTCTTGTTGCCTATTTTGTTAGAATTTTCAAAAATTTTAAAATGTCGAGTTAGATAGACATGCAAGTCAAGTTGCTTATAAAATTATGTCATTAATTTGTCACTTCATTGAAGACGAACCTAAATGCAAAGTCTAGTAAGGTTTGACAGTGAAAATCTAATCAATTTTGGGAAATCATAATAGGTAAGGATCTAAATATAAAGTTTAGTGATTTTGACAGTGAAAATCTAGTAAAGTCTTGTTTATCAGAGAAAGATCTAACCACATCCCACTTGTTGACTATTTATGTTATTTTCTGCTCAAATGTCTTTTGATTTTTTATCTCAGTTGGTTTTTTGTTAAAAATACAAGTAATTGGATATTTCTATTTGTATTTTCTTAAACTTTAGAATGAGAGCTCAATTATATATTTTTACCTTTAAATTGAAACTTTAGTTTCTGGAGCGATTAATATTTTATATTTTTGTGTTGTGTTAGAAAATGTCAAATTCATTATTGTTTATCAGTTAATAGCGTCTTTGTTAATTCATTAGTAAATAGTACATATTTTGTTTAATTATACTAATATAGTTTCTTTAATTTTCCATTGATCAGTAGTTTGATTTTTCTAATTATTTCTTTTCCTATTGCAAGTAGGGTATGTCAAGTTCCCCTTATAATTCAAATCAAGGTGCTTCCACAAGTCCTATTATGGATCCTAGTAATGAAGATGTGATGCTTGTCATTGGTGATGAGAAAGATGATGAGATGCATGATGATGTTGAAATTGAAATACTTGTTGAAAATAAAGGGAAAAATGACTAAACCATTTCAAAAGAAAACTAGGGCATTGAAAACTAAAGTATGGGATGACATGGATTGAGAAACTTAAACTGATCGATCAATTAAAATAATATGTAAGCATTGCAAAGAGATATGGGAGATGAATGCTAGTGATACCACAACTACTTGCAGTAGGCATTTAAAGAACTGTCTACAAAAGAAGCTAGAAGATGAGGGGAAAAAGAGGATTCAATAACAAGTTCTATTTTTCACAGCAGAAACACCATTGGATGGCATGATTTCAATAATAAACTTCAGATATGATTATGCTAAAGTATGGGAACTTGCATCCCATATGATTTTGGCATATGAATGTCCCTTTGCAATGTTGGATCATGAAATTTTTAACAAGTTCATGAAAGTTGCTTCTCCATATTATATAAAAATTAGTAGATAGACTGTGAAGAAAGGCTCCATTTCTACTTATGAATTGGAGAAGACGAAGTTGATGTCATTACTAAAGGGGATCAATAAAGTTAGTATCACAACAAATTTATGGAAATCAAACTAGAAAATTCAATATATGATTGTAAATAGATACTTTATTGATTCGAATTGGGTGCGGTAAAAGCATGTACTGAATTTCCCCCATATACAGGAGTTATTATCGCTGATCCTCTTAACTAATATTTTATTGAATAGGGCATTGAGAACAAATTTGTATTATTACTGTGGATAATGCTTTGTATAATGATGTGTGTGTTGGGAGGTTAAAAGATGACTTTTTGTTAAGAAAACAATTAAATATTGGGAAAAAATCCTTTTATGTTCGTTGCTGTGCATATATACTTAATCTTTTGGTACGAGATGACCTTAGTCAAATAGGAAAATCGATTGATA